CAAAGGCGAATGGTGGATATTGTGAGTCCAGTCTGTCTGAAGATACCCAGTATCTTCAGCAAACAATATGTCCTCACCTGGGGAGGTTATTCTACCCAGTGGCCAAAAGTAGCAGATGTATGCCAAACTGATGTCAAATCTGTGAGTCAGGCCTTAATGGACGAATTTACTAGAACAGCTTGGCCAACCAAAGTTCTCATACATGCTGACACATACTTCATATCAGGAGTAACCACAAACCTATGATAAACCTACGGGTTGTGCATGGGATTAAGCCTCTGGTAATCTATCCTTTGATATCATCAGAAAAGATGATTAAAAATGTTAATTAGAAATCAGAACAAACCTGACAGCTACGAAGGTCCATTTTCAACCTCAGTCTATAAAAAGTTCCCAGAAGACAGTCCAATGGATCAGGAGAACAGCAAGAGATAAATTCCACCAGGTCCCCCAGTGGTAACAAGCAGAACCAGGATCTAAATAATGTTTGGCTTCCTTTCAGCAAATGCTTCTTTTGCATCATTACATTCCTTTTCAAGACACAGAAAAGCATGACAATTACACAGAAATGTGAATAAAAACATGGCACAATGAATATTTTCTGTATTTCTACTTTTTTTAGGAGCTTCAATCTCAAAATTATATGGAATGTGAGGAACTATGAATCCATAGTCCTAGAACATTAGAAATTTCAGGTTGGTTTTGCATTTATCAGCTGCTACACCCAAAAGAACTGGGTTTGCTGACTCAGAAATGACCAAGAAATGTACTTAAAGAAACTGAATTAAGAAAGTTTCAAAGGGGAGTAAACAAATTCCGAGACCAAATTTAGCCTCGAAGGCTACATTTTCATTTCAAAAAGTAATCTTTTTCAAGATATGGAAGTAATCAATACATTGATATTTTTTGTCTTCTTTATTATTTCCTCTAATAATGAACTCAGCACTTACTGAGTGCTACTAAGGCTGCATCTAAAATAGGACCTTGAGAAGCAAGAGGTACCTATTAGTAGAGGTGAGAGACCCCAAGTTTGTAAAAGTGCAAAGATACAGTAGTTTAAATACCGCATTTGGGAAGAGACTGACATTCCAATAAGTACCATGATATGTGGGAATGATTTTGGGAGACAAGGTGGAGAGATGCAGCCAAGGGAACTGTCAGATAAAAGTCAACTTGGCCTAATGCAGGAATCTGGGTGGGGCAAGAGGCTCAGAAGGGACTCTCCCTAGTTTCTTGGGCTGTAAAGGAGATGGGGGGGGAGAGATGTACTTTGAGATTTGCAAGGTTGATGTCAGCCTTGCGAGGTAGACCAGACGGGAAATACAAACAGATGAGCTAATTCTACTTTATTTTAAGGTTACATTAACAGAATCTTGAGGGGTGGGGACAGAGTCCCCATGCCATAGCTGGGGGACACCTGGGGTCAGTAGTGGTGGGGCGGCAGGGCAACAGTGGATAGGTGGTGGCTGCAGAATACAGCGGCCTCCTTATCTCAGCCATGCTACGCAAGGCAGCCAAAAGGGCAGAGATGGGGGAGATAGGTGGGGGGGAGTTGAGGTGGAGGCAGTTTGTGCAGGGCAGGAGAAGCATGAGGTCCTCCCCTAATAACTGCACACGGGACTGTCATCACTAAGCAGCAGGGTCATGTGATGTTTCGCTTAATGACCGCTTCACTTAGCAATGGAAATTCTGATCCCAATTAGGGTCGTAACCTGAGGACTACCTGTATACCTCATGTGTCACACAAGGCAAAATCAGACACTTTAGGAGTACAGTTTTTAAGGGGGAAATAATTGACCTAAAAACAGTAATTAGAAGCAATTTCAATGTTCACAAATATTTTGATGCAATCACCAGTTGGGTACGATGGGAGGGAATTTAGAACTTAATATTGTTTTTACTGATTCTTCTCTTTATTATTTTATTTTCTCCTTTCCTTTCTCCTTTACATGATTATCTGCATTTATTTTTGGAACAATGACAAATGGTAACAATAGCAATATTAATGTTTTAGTTATAGAGTGTAAGTTATTTCTTAAGATGATATAATGAACCTAATTCTATATATTAATTAACAAAATAATGAAATAATGACTTTTAACTTTTATGATAATTGTAAATCCTTTATTTACTGATTCATCCACTATTCTTCATCCGCCATGTCTTTTCCCTCTTTCTTCTTTTATGTAGTTTAAAAAGAGAAAGAGGGAGAGAATGCCATAGACTTTTTGTAAGTTTAGCCACCTCCATTACAGAAACTACATGTTCCAAAATTGATAATAATTCAAATTGTTGTCTTTGGATGGATGCATTGAATCTGAAGGCTCTTTGGACTACAGCAGGTGATAAAAGAGATCCAATCTATGTCTAGTTTGAACAAAGTACTCTATAGTTAGTACTCCAATTTCTATCCAAAACAGCCAGCTTGTTATATTATTACAGGTAGTCCTCGCTTAATGATCATTCGTTTAGTGACTGTTTGAAGTTATGAAGCACTGAATAAATGGTAGTTACGATCAGTCCTCAAAGTTATGGTCACTGCAGTACCCCTGAAGTCACATGATCAAATTTTGTGTGCTTGGCACCCCGCCTGCAATTATGACTGCAGCATATCCTTCAGTTCCCCCCCCCCCGCTTATCTCCCCACCATCTGTACCCTACGCCGCTGGCCGTTGCCATCTTCTTCTTGCTGCTGGCCCAGGATTTAGGCACCCCACACCACAGCCCCAGGATACACGTGGCGAGCAAGAACTTTGTAACACCTTGCAACGCAGCCCTGGGATGCTTGCGGTGAGCGAGGCCTTGCTCGCCACACACATCCCAAGGTGCCTCAAAGGCCTCATTTGCTGCATGTGTCACAAAGGCCTCAGTGGCCACACCCTTGCCCAGCACCTGGCTCTTGGACCAGCAGCAGCAGGACAAAGTTGGTGTAATCAGCTGGGGGGTGGCGGGGGGCAGCAGGAGTAGGTGGTGGCGGCAGAGCGCAGGGCAGCCAAAAGGGCAGAGATGGGGAAGACAGGTGGTTGGGGAAGTTGAAATGGAGGTGAGCATGGCAGGGTAGCACAGCATCGTCTGCCAAAGGGAGCTCGCCAGGACCGACCGGGGAGGAGACAGTGGGATAGAGCCGGCCGTTCACGCAGGGCAGGAGAAGCATGAGGTCCTTGCCTAAAGACAGCACAGTCCTTGCCTAATGACCACAACCAGGACTACCAGAATGGCAGTTGCTAAGTGGTGCGGTCATGTGATGTTTCACCTAACAACCTCTTTGCTTAGTGACAGAAATTCTGGTCCCAGTTAGGGTCACTTGAAGACTACCTGTAGAGCACCACACGGCTTTAGGTCCAGCCTTCCAATCTTTTGCTGTTACCTGCTTTGTCAATGTTTCTGAAAAAATCATTACTGTTTGCTAAACAAAGAGCACCATATTTATTCATGTTTCTTGTTGGATCTTTCTTTGCAGTCCATATTTATTTGTTTATAAAACTGATTATACATTTTGACTCATTAAAAAATAATCCCAAAGCATGACTACAATACGGATCAAAACAGAACAATGTCAAATTACAAAAACGAAAGAAAAATGATTCCAAAAACATACACGGCAGCGCAGATGTGTAGGTTACTCTTTAACTGACACAAAAAGTCCACATGCTTTGGTGCCAAACATAATTGAGTAGAAAGGAAATGGCTGTTTAAAGCCCTACTCTTTCAGTTCCAGTCAGCATGTCTATTTCTGCTTTAAAAGAGAATTCATGATGCATTCTGGCAAAGAAAATTTTGATCAATTATATTAGTTACTTAATAGTAACCATCAGAATACTTTACCAAAATATGACACTTCCTAACTGGTAGTTACCATTTCAGAAGTACTTCCTACAACGCATAATGTTCTCTTATATCACAATATTGTTTGATAATACTCTCAATTCTTTCTTGAAACCTTTGCATGCACCCCAGTAATTTAGTCAGTCATTTTATGAACTAATCATGCAAAAAGTTCCACACCACTGGAGAAGCTTTAATTATTCATGCAACAATTGATAACTTGTTATTAACATCATATTGTTTGTGAGGGTCACAAACATTTATTTTCTTGGGAGGTCACATTGCCGAATGGCACTCTTTCTATTTCTTGGAATCAAGCTTTCCAGTCTATAAATACTGAAGGTCCATGCCTTAGCCCAAATCAACTTAAAAAAAAAAAGCAGAAATCATTTCAGAAATCATTTCAAAAATAAAGATAACAACAGGCTGAAAAACTTACTTATCCAAGTTTCTTTTTGGATCTCTGTATTTAAAATACTGAATACCTTCCAACCTTGCCCATTTCTCTTCCGATTCAAGGCAAGTCCTAACTTTATATTCAGAATCACCCACAGTAAACAGGTAAAGAATTGGGAGTGTCCACACCCACTGTTGAATGTCTTCTTCAATACAGCTATTACAGAACATTATCAAATTCTGCTCCATACTGAAAGAGATAGAAGAAATTAAGATCTACTAAAAAAAAGGTTTTATCAGAATCTCGCTGTACAAATTAGCTTGCCATTCTTACTTCCAACAGTAATTCAGACAAAGATCCTGAGAGGGAGGGAAAAGGTTATGTTTTCCACCTCCCAAGAGGTGTGCGTATGTGTGTATGTAGGAAATGTATTTTTGTCTGTAAGAGAGACCATGAAGGAAGGGATCTATTAATTTTACAAATAGGCTTGTTTTATAAACAAATTTAATAGTAGTTAGCAATTCAATTTATACATACTATACATACATACATACATACATATATTGGCCTGGCACTGCATTTTTTTTGAAATGTGGCTTTTAGCAGATATGCGTATTTATATATGTCACATGACAGCCAGCATGGTGCAGTGGTTAAGATGCTCGACTGGCACCAAGAAGACTCAGGTTCAAGTACCCTTTCAGCCATGGAGGCTCACTAGGTGATTCTGACCCAGTTCATCTCTCTCACCCAACCTACAGTGGGGCAAAAAAGTATTTAGTCAGCCACCAATTGTGCAAGTTCTCCCACT